ATGGTTCTGCAGGCTGCACAGGCAGCCTAATGGCCTCTGCTCCTGGGGAGGCCTCAGGAAGCTTCCAATCATGGCAGAAGGCAAAGGGGGAGCAGGCACATTACATGGAGAGAACAGGTGCATGGGAGGTGTTGGGGGAGCAGGGGAGGTGTTCCACATTTTTAAATGACCAGATCTTGTGAGAACTCACTGTCACGAAGACAGCATCAAGCCATGAGGGATCTACCCTCATGGTCCGAACACCTCCCACGAGGCCCCACCTCCAGCACTGGAAATTACAATTCAACATGAGATTTGGTGGGGACAAATATCCAAGCTCTATCAGTCATATAGCAGAATCTTTCTTGTGAGCCATGAAAAGAAAAATGTACCAGTAGTCAATAGTCACGGTTCCAGGGATTAGGATGTATCTTTTTAGGGCCACCATTCAACCCACTATAATCAGTAATAACTTAAACTTTAAAACGTCTATTCTGTCTTGCACTCTGCTAAGCACATCAGGGATACAGAGATAAGACAGAGACCCTACCTCTGACTGGTTTCCCTTCCCTTCCTTTCCCTTCCCTTCCCTTCCCTTCCCTTCCCTTCCCTTCCCTCTAAAGATGAGTTTATTAAATTAAAATTTACATACGGTAGCATTTGTCCTGTTTAGATATATAGCTGAGGAAACTGGTTTAGAGAGATAAAACAACTTTTTCAAGCATGTACAGAGAAGAAATAGCTGAGGTCAGGATTTGAACCTATGTTCTCTACTGCTAGAGCCTGTATACTAAACCACACTCTAAACAGCCTCCACTCTTCTTCTGGGCGTCTCTGGTTCCTTATCTGTCAAATGAGGAAGCTGACAAGAGGCTTTCTAGAAGTTCTGAGAGTGCTGATGTGAGAGAGTCCCATGGTGAAAGGCAGGGGAGCACTTATTCAAAGAAATCCTTCGGTGTGAAGGGAGTCTTTTTGAAATGGAAATTTTTGTGCCTCCTGTAAGTATTTAGCCTATTTGTGATATATTGCAGGCCTATGTGCCTGGTTAAGTAGATTTGCAGCTCATGAGATCTCATTTCAATTGAGCTAATCCTCACAAAATGGACAAGTGATTTAAATGATTCCTGTGAAGAAACTGCAAGCTGAAGATAATATTAATGATGTGAGGCTAAGGAAGCAGCAGGAGAATGACTGAACTGACACCCCTACAACTCCTGGTGCTTGCTGTGTTTCAGTTAATTACAGGGTAAAATTAATGGCAGTCTAATGACATCAATCACAAAATTGGTCAGAAGACAAAAATTATTAAGAAGACTATTTGAAATATGGCCTTTCACATTCACGATGATGCTCTCCTGAGTGAATATTGTGTCTTGATAAAGCTAAGGAGAATTGCCATTGCAATTGACCAGCATTAAAAAACCTAAGGTTTTTCAACTGTTCAAAGCCATGAGACACTCACTCCAGATCTTTACACATTTGGATTAAATTTGATAATTTTCATGTAGTAATAGTGAAAGTGAATAGCCATATTCCATTGGTCAAACATTATTGCTCTTGACAGTCACTTGTCCTTGTGACTCTTGACAGTCACTTATCTTTGAAAAGATAAGTGAAAATGGTTGAAGAAATACCTAATGACTACATTCCTTAGTCATTAAATACTGCTGGAAGATGCATCAAACTTGTTGCCAAAGAGCTGAAGAAACAAATATTAAAACAAATAGTTTAGTGTGAGAGGTTTGCAATGCAGTTGCTCAAAAGTACAGATGTTACTGACATATTTCAGCTTATGTCATTGCTGGATTCTTCTTTTCAATAATGGAATACATTGGAAGGCCCTTTCTTGTGAGCCATTAAAGAAAAAATGTACCAGAAAGAAATATTCTCAATAGTCAATCAGTTTCTTAACAAAAGCAATGTTTTTGATATTTGTATTGACCAGGATGAAAAAACTAGGTAGGTTTCCTGAGCTAGCACCCATGTAAAATTTATTTACTGCATTCTTTACATCAAGCTATTTAAGCAAGTAAGTTAAAGTCACAAGCGAATAGAGCACAATAGGATGTCATTGATGTGGACCAATATATAGAGGCAAGATGTTTAAGATATAGCAGAATCTTAGCAATGCTTTATAATTAGGAAATAAACCTGAAATATTTGTGCATGCAGAGATTCCCTCATTCTATTTTGGCAAAGTATTTGAAATGGTAAGTGAACATAAAATTATGGGTTCCAAATTACTTGATCTTTTCAAGGATAAGGGACTGTGAAGAGTAAGGCATAGCAGGTACATTTGAAAAAACACAAACATACATTTAAATTACCCTATCAAGGTAAATGTCATGAGTTAGTAATGAGCGGAATAGTAACTGATTTTCAGAAGAAACTTGTAAACCACAGTGAGATGCCATTATGTATGCACCAAAATGGCTAAAATGAAAAAGATAATACCAAGAGTTGGCAAGAATGTGGAACAATTAGAAATCCCACAGCAGTGGAAGTGTCAATTCATAAAACCAGTTCAGGCAACTGTTTGGCAGTATTTAGGAAGGCAGAACATAAGCAAACCCAATGACCCAGCAATTGAATTCTAGGTATATACCAACAGAAGGCATACAAATGTTCACCAAAAGACAGACACCAAAATGTTCATAGCAGCACCATTCCTCATACTCTAACACTGGAAATGGCCCAAGTGCCCATCAAATGTAAAATAGATAAACTTTTTGTTGTGTATTCACACAAGAGAATACTCCACGAATGAATGATCCACAACAATACTTGGTGATATGGACACATCTCACAAATGAGATTTTGAGAAAAAGGAGACACACAAACAAAAGGTTTTGTCTGGTGTGATTCCACTTATGAGAGGTTAAAAAGAAAAGTCAGGCAAAATTAATTGAAAGTTAGGATGGTGGTTGTCCTTGGGTGGAAAAGAACTGGCAAGAGCATAGAAAGAGGCTCCTAGGGGTGCAGACAATGTTTTGTGTCTTAATCTGTTTCCTAAACAAGGCATGTTCACTTTGATCTGTCCACTTACATGTACACTTTTCTGTGTGCATTTTCTTGAATAAAAAGAAAAAAGTCACTTGTTCTGTGAAGACAGGGTTTGCGCAGAGATGATTTGAAGTAGTTTCTATGTTAACATTGTTAAACATAATGTGTATAAACCACATCTCTATTTCTGAAAAGATTGAAATAGAATAATCTAGCCTGTTTTAAATTTCCAAATGAAATGTTCCAGTGCATATTTAAGTATTTTTAAAACATTTCAATAGATTGTGAGAAAAATGGATTGTCACCAAGGAGGCTGGAAATTTACTAGCCCCAAATTTCACCAAGACCTTTGCCTAACTGGTAGATGGAATTAAAAAAATAAGTATTATGACTGAATAAGGCAAAAATGCTGTATTTCTTTCATTTGGATCTGTGTATCTTTTTGAGATATCCTTTCCAGCTATGACAGTCATTAAAAGCAGGTATCAGAACAAATCAAATTTAGGACCAAACCATCAATTACTATGTCATAAAGATTAAACCAAGATTGAAAAAAAAGGAACACACGTACAAAATCACACTGTGCTCACTGAAATAATTTTTATTCTTATAATTTTTTTATAGGAAAGCAAAAAAGTTGATTAGGTGTTACTAAATAAAATAAAATTACTAAAATTATTTAGTTCATCTCAACTTCAACATTTAAAACTTACTGTTATGTAATTTTATGATATATATTAGAATAATAGAGTAATAGTATCTACATATAAATTAAAAATCCACAGGCATATATTGGAGGTGCATGCTTGAAATTTTGTTATTGATATAGGGCCAGATTATAAAAAGCTCAGAGAGCACTGGCCTATTCTCTTTCCTTAGGGTTTAACCTTCAGTAATAGGTTGATGTGAGTTAGGAGCCAGGGAGATGAAGATTTGAATCCTAGTTCTGCTATTTACTAGATGTATGATTTTGAACACTTAGTCAGTGGATCTGGATGAGAATGAGAATTTAGCACTTCTCTGGAAAGGTTGGATAAGATAATTCAATGAGTTGATAGATGTAACTGTCTTAGGACCTTGACTAGCCTCTGGAAGTTCAATCAATGGTCACTGCAACTGTCACGTTGTTGTTTCCTGGTGCTTTCTAAACTTGCCGCATCATAACCATCTCCTGGGTGCTTGTTGAAAATGTGTGGGTCTCACTTCAGATTTTCTTGGTGGGGCTTTGTAACTTGTATCTTTGGAAGGTCTCCAGTGATTCTTACTATCAAGTGAGTTTGAGAAAGACTGATTTAGAAGGTGTTGAAGCCATCTTTCCTCTAGTGATTTTTCTCTGGGGAACAGTCTTCTCTCCTATGTGCCATGAACTCCTGTAGGATCATCTCTGTCCCTGACACGGTCTAGCAGGGAGTTCTATAAGCCACTGAAGAGCAATGGGTGGTGACGGCCAAGGTGAAAGCTCCACAATTGGGATGATGAGCAAAAGCTGGTCCCAGTGGGCAGAGCACAGCAACCAGGAGATGAGGAGAGGCATCAGGCTGAGATCGTGGCATGAGATGAGCACATGAAGAAGGAGGAGAAATGTCCCCCTTGGGCCTGGAGCTCAGTAGCCTGCTTGATCCTGACACAACTAGGATCAGAAGTAGGATTAGTCCTTGGGGGAGCTGGATGGGGGCCATCAGAGTCAATGCACAGCACCCAGGCACACTGTCAGGCTCTGTGTCATTGAGACCTAAGTTCAAGTGGGAACCAACCAGAACTGAGATATAAAATCAGATAAGTCCAGGAGGAGGATAGACTTGGGCTTTGTTGTTTGATCCTGATGAAGATTCTTCCATTCCATTCCCATTGACTTCAGACAGATTGGTTCCTGAATTGTATGAGGAATAAGCAGGCTACTGTGGGTTGACCTATGCTAGGTGCTTAATGAGCGCATGCAAATTCAGCATGCAATTAGGTAATCATACTTATTCTTCTCTTGTAATTTTGTCTTCTGTGCATCTACTTCTTTCACCTAGGTCCTTGCCTTGCTTCTCCAGAGATGACGGCCTGGCTGGGCCGCACCCTGCAGGCGCTCTTCCCCAGCGCAGATGCCCTGCTGTGTCCTGACAGTCCCGCGTTACCCTCGATCTGAAGGTGTGGATAATTAAGGTAATGAACACTTTTCCACTAGCTGCTGAAAGCCTCATTAATCTACACACATGTTGCCACAGGCAAATTATGGCGTCAAGGGTGGGAGGATCAACAAAAATAACTTCAGAAATTCGTTAATCAGACTTAGTCAAACATGTAGTTTGGAACTGAGTGTTCTTATCCTGTGATGGTCAGAGGATTAGATTTTTTTTTTTTTCCAAAGACATGAAAGGGACTTCTTAAGCAATATTTGGGAACATCTAGGTTATTGTACTGGCATTTATGACTCTAGTGGTTGATGCTAATGGAATCTGTCCAAAGACTTCAGTGCGGAGGATTCCATAAATGCTGAATATGCTACGGTGGATGATCAGGGTTTCTAAATATGGCAGAGGGAAAAAAATGGTCATGAGATCACACAGAGAAACATACCCAGTGAGGACGGAGATGACTAATGCCACCAAATATTCATTTTCTCCCTGACATGTCATAGATGCCCTCGGAGTCAGGTTGGCGCTACAGAAGTATTTGCTAGTTCGCTTCTCCAGCCCTCTCCTTTGTTGTTGTTGTGGTGGTAGCCTTGGAGGACTCTATCCCAGATGATAAAATACAAGAGTGAAACTTTTGCACTCATCCTGGACTTTGTGTGCATGAAAAATAAAGTTGTATTACGTTAAGCCACAGAGATTTCCTGACTGATCGGTTACTGCAGCAGTCTACCCCATCCTGAGGAATGGATCAGCCACTTCACTTAAGGCTAAGCACATTTTCTTTTGAATATGGTGATTAGGCCAGTTGTACCATGATAGCCTCATGAGCAGAGTGTCTGATTCCCGCACGGCTTTCAAGAGGATCTTTCATGAACAAGTTGGGGTATTCTCTGGACAAATTGGGGTCCTGGGTAATGGATAATAAAACATCTAAGTTACTTGAGTAAGGATCTACCCTAAAATGGAGGATTAGCAAATAAACATGAACCTTAAGAGAGGATATTGGCCTGGTGTAGTGGCTCACGCCTGTAATCCCAACACTCTGGGAGGTCGAGGTGGGCGGATCACCTGAGGTTGGGAGTTTGAGACCAGCCTGACCAACATGGAGAAACCCCGTCTCTACAAAAAATACAAAATGAGCCAGGTGCGGTGGTGCATGCCTGTAATACAAGCTACTTGGGAGGCTGAGGCAGGAGAATCACTTGAACCTGGGAGTTGGAGGTTGTGGTGAGCTGAGATCGTGCCATTGCACTCCAGCCTGGGCAACAAGAGCGAAACTTCATCTGAACAAGAAAAAAAATAGAAAAAAAAAAAGAGAGGATATTAAGAACACATTCCATGTTCAGTGTCATTGAACACTTTAAACAATGGTTTCAGAGACAACAGAGACACTTTTTAAGTTTGTGCCACAGAGAAATAACAGGCTGAGTATTTTGACTGACAGATTCAGGACACAAATAAACTCTGGTAGGCCAGAACACGGGCCTAAAAGATGGGAGAAAAGCATTTCATATAAATATGTGCATATGTTGATTTGAACTGAAGATCATAGGAGAGGAGGGATGAAGTTCAAAGTATTTTGAAAATAGCTAAGTAGACCAGTATTTTTAGGGGGTAAGGTAAAAGTCAATGGGAAATAAGGCTGAAAGTGGTTTGGGGCTTGAAGGTGGAGAGCCCTGAATTCCATGCCCAAGATTCAGGCAATGGGGAGGCATCAACAGTATTTGAGAGAGGGAGTGACATGATTGATTTAATCTAGCTTTATTTTTAAACCCTTCTTTTCATTGCTAATGCCCACTCTCTCCTTTCTTCCCAGCTGGTTGGAGGACAGCTGTGAGGGGCAGGGTCCATTTGTTAAGTTTCAGACACTAATACATTAATTGACTCACTTAACCCTCACAACTATGAGAGATAGATTCAACTATACTCATTTTACAGATGAAAAAACCGAGGCTCAGGGATGTTACAAAATTTATCCAAAAACATTCAGCCTCTCTTGGACTGGATAACACGGTATGTGAATGGGAAACCCCAATAGTACTGCAGGTTGAGTATCCCTTATTTGAAATGCTTGGGAGTAGAAGAGTTTCTATTAGGGATTTTTTGGAAATTTGAAGTATTTGCCTACACAGAATGAGATATCTTGGGGGTGGGACCTAAGTCTAATGTGAAACTCATTTGTGTTTCATATACACCTTATTTACACAGCCTGAGGTAGGTAATTTTATACAACATCTTAAATAATTTTCTGCATGAAACCAAGTTTTTATTTTATTACCCTTTGTGGGTGTGCTTGTGCTGGAATATCTGGGTGTGTGCAGGAAAGCTACATTGCAGCTGAAGGGGGCTGGCAGGGCCTTTTTTCCATTTGGTAAACTGAATAATCTATGTGTTATGTGCCTGACTTTTGATGACATTCTGTCACATAAGGTCAGGTGTGAAATTTTCCACTTGTGGCATCATGGTGGTCCTCAAAAAGTTTTGGATTTTGGGGCATTTTGAATTTCAGATTTTCAGATTAGGGATGCTCAACCTGTGTAAGCATTGTTCTACCAGGAAGAATGCCATACGGAGGAGAACAGCTCTGGAACCATTGTAGAGAAGGGGAACCAGAGCCCTTATCAAGCCTTACTTGAAGGTCATCCTACTGCTGGTCTTTTTAGTTGTGTGTGACAGTGAGTCAATTTGAGTTGGAATTTCTAGACAAGCACACCAACTGATGCAAGCGTTTGACCTCTCTGAATTATTGGGTACTTAGTTGGCTTGGGCTTCCATAACAAAATACCATAGACAGGGTGGCTTACACAACAGGCATATATTTCTCACAGTTCAGGAAGCTGGGAAGTCAAAGATCAAAGTGCTGGCTGATTTGGTTTCCTTCCTTCCTTCCCTCCCTCCCTCCCTCCCTTCTTTCCCCTTCCTTCCTTCCTTCCTTCCTTCCTTCCTTCTTCCCTTCCTTCCTTCCTTCCTTCCCTTCTTTCCTTCCTTCCTTCCTTCTTCCTTCCTTCCTTCCTCCTCCTTCCTTCTTCCTTCCTTCTTCCTTCCTTTTCTTTCTTTCTCAGAGTCCCGCTCTGTCACCCAGGCTGGAGAGCAGTGGTATGGTCTCGGCTCACTGCAGCCTCTGCCTCCCAGGTTCCAGCGATCCTCCCACCCCAGACCCAAGTAGCTGGATTATAGGTTGCATGCCCACTATGCCCAGTTAATTTTGTTTTTAGTAAAAGACGCAGGTTTCACCCATGTGCGCTAGGCTGATCTCGAACTTCTGACTTCAAGGATGCGCAACTGCCTTGGCCTCCCAAAGCACTGGGAATACAGGTGTGAGCCACTGCGCCCCAGGCCTTGATTTGGTTTCGAATGAGGGCTCTCTTCTTTGTTATTCCTCCACATAGCCTATCTTCGTGTGGTGGTGTGTGTGTTGTGTGTGTGTGGGAGAGAGAGAGGAGAAAGAAGAGAGAGAGAGTTAGGGCTCGAGCATATGAATTAGGTGGGGCACGTGTTCAGTCTAGGTGCCTCGATTGCCTTTCCTAGAACACCTCTTCCTTTCTTTACTTCGTGATACCACATTAACTCCTCTCTCTTTGCTTTCTCAGTGTTTATTTCTGGATTCACCCTCTCTGCTCACTGCCCTAGATCTGGTTTCCTCAAGGTTAAGGCCTGGGCTATCTTTCTGCTCATTCTACACAGTCTGTTGGGTCAATTTTCCTGAGCACGCCCTCATGCATCCTGATGGCTTTAAGATCAGGGAATTCCATGATTCCTAAATCTGTAGTTTAAGCTCACAATTCTCTACTGTGTGCCAGCCTGTATACTTCACATCGCTAACTGAAGTATCTCCTCTTCCAAGCGGCAACTCACTGAAGCCTGAACTCATGAATCCTACTCTGTGGAGGTGGGCTGTCCCAACATCTCCAGAGAAACTCCATGTCAAAGCTGGCTTCTGGCTTCTCCTGCTTGTTCTACACAAACCTTCCTGAGTCCCAGGTGCTGCTGTCGGAGTGTGCTTACGCTGAGTCTTTGTGTATTCTAATGCTTTCAATCATACTTTTCTTTCCCTCTTTCCGCATGGCTACTCTTGGTTGGTCCGAGGTCCCCATCACTGATTTCGTTGGATTGCCCGCAATTAGCCTCCTCCTCTGATTCTCTTTGGCTTCCAGTCTCGGATCCCTTTGTGTGTCTTTCTCCTTATTACCCCAACTGCCTAAATCCTACGACTTTCATCCTTGCTTTGCCATTTCTCCAGGCACTCACCTTACTGCCTCGGAGGACAAATCCAGGCTGTTAGCCCTGCCCTGGGCAGCTTGAGGCTTGCGTCTATAACAGCCCTGTGCAACCCTCCTGCCTCTTAAGCATTCGTTCTATCTTGTCCATGTTCCTTTAACGCTCTGGCCATGACTGAGCGCTCTGCAGTTTCCTGCAAGGTACACATCATCTCTCTTTGCATACTCTGTTCCTTCTGTTCTTCAGTTCAGGTGCCTCTTCTCCAGGAAGCATTCCTGACCATCCTGTTTGGGTTAGGTCTCTCTCTCTCTCTTTTTTCTTTCTTTTTCGTTTTGTTTTGTTTTTGTTTTTTGGATGGAGTCTCGCTCTGTTGCCCAGGCTGGAGTGCAGCGATGTGGTCTCGGCTCACTGCAACCTCTGGCCTCCCAGGTTCAAGCGATTCTCCGGCCTCAGCTTCCCGAGAGCTGGGACTACAGGTGCCCACCAACACCACCGCCGGCTAATTTTGTATTTTTAGTAGAGATGGGTTTTCACCATGTTGCCAGGATCTGGTCTCGATCTCTTGACCTCGTGATCTGCCTGTCTCAGCCTCCCAAAGGTGTCTCTTATGTGATCCCATACACATCATATTTATCTCTCCTATACCCCTTATTGTGTGTTGCTGTTAATGATGACATGCCTTTCTTTTCTATGAAACTTTTAGGTCCCTGAGAGAAGGCACTAGGTCTTAGTCTTTGTAACTCCCATGCCTAACACATGGTAGATATTTACTAAATATGTGCAGAAGCCATAAAGTGTGGCACTTAAGAG